CAAAGTATCTGCGAGAGACATCGTACGTCGGCAGACGACGTGAAACCGGAACGCGCTCCGAGAGCGCTTCTACGAAGCCGAGAACCGGACCGGCACCGACAAATAAGGGATGGGCATAATTGGGCTCTCTCTCTCTCTCTCTCTCTCTCTCTCTCTCTCTCTCTCTCTCAGTGTAAAAACTGCGCACTAGTCTCATGAACGAGGCATTCTCTTTACGTAGACCAGAGGCCTTACGCAGGCCGTAGGTATCGTGGAAATAAATCGATAGGGATTTCATATAAATTCTCGAGACTCGCGATCGCATCGCTGCTGTGTCGGCCTGTCGAATTTAAATGGACATTTCACATGTACCGTAGATAATCGATATACAATCCGCAGATATGGGCTATCATATACTCGTTTTAATCATAAATGTCGAGGCACGAGGTATAAAGAGATAACGAGTCACGAGTGGTGCGTGATAAGCACTCAGGTTTCGAGTGGATCGCCGACGCACCGCGATTGGTGCGGCGTGTGGATTAAAGTCAGACGGGTAAAATAAAATTGAACAGCTGTTTCCCGCGCGTCATCTCGCTGATCTCACGCTGCAGAAGGGAGAGGCAAGTGTCTCTCAACCTGCAGCCCGTCACGATGCAACGGATTTACCTTTCTCCGTAGATGAATCTTCCATTCGTTATCCGATATAGAAATATCGTATGGCATCTTCTATTTTTTCTTCGAGAAAATAAAAACAAGACTAATTCTTCAGATATCGTTCTGGATTAGCGACAGTGCCTTCCTCTGTCGCTGTGAAAGCAGCTTAAGAATATCTCGCTTTTCAAGAATGTTCAGCGAGAAAAGAGGAGAGATTGTCTCGAAAAGTAAATTCTAATTTTCGACATCGACTGGTTTTAGAAAAAGGATTTCTCATTGTCGGTTATTCCGCGATGAGGAAATATAACTCGCTACATTTCCTTATAAAATATTTCTGCCCAGCTTGTTTCTATGTTCATCGATCTTGTAAACTGTACGCTTCCTAATGAAGCTTTATGTAATTCGCAATGGAAACCTTTGCTTGGAACTGTCGAGGCGTCGGATAATTCGAGAACAAAATAAAAATTTTGTTTATCCATAGATATCTAATCTTCGTGGTCACTTCTAATATATAAAATCAAAACAGCTTTGCTTTGAAGCAAAATAAGCGTATAATTATTTTATTGAAAATTGCTATTAAACAATTTCTCTCTTTCAAAATGTTCAATCATTAATATAATATTAATGCTTTTATTTATATCATCACATCCAGCTCCAAAATTACTGGTTCTGTTTACAGCTTTGACCTCGATTTTGTATACGAGGTTAAAGTACCGTTGAAATTTCCAGTAATCTCGCATTTCGAATAATATATATCTTCTTTTTCATCTTATAATTATCGAATCGTATGATAGCTTAAAAAAATTGAAGAGAGAAAAAAATAGAATCGGATCAATTTAAAAATAATGAACGGTATCAACAGTTGCATGTAAAATATTCTTTCGCGAGTATTCATTCAGCGTCGCGCGTGTACCTATCAATTTTTATCAGCTTCACATTCATTCGACAGTCTTAATCGTGCCTTTGCAAGTAATATACGATACGTAGCTATCACGTACTGTATGTTTACTCTGACTATATTCCTCGTGAATATATAGTGAAAAAAAAAATCATCATCAAACTAGTACAAACTAGTTGTTCGTGACGATAAAACGGTGCTGCGCGGTGCAATATTGATGATCTTTGTCCTGTCACGTGACAAAAATCTAATGAAAATTTAATACGTTAATGATATACATACATAAATAGAATGTACGTAATATCGGAATATATCTTAGCGATACGAAAGCGTACGAATAAAATGAGAAATTAATAATTAATGCGCGATTAATGTCCATTCTATCCAATTATAAATCTATATATGACGGGAAGATAAAGTAAGATTTTAATATTTATTTTTGTTTAAAATTGAATTCTAAATTTATTTTCGTAGTTACAATTTGCATAAAATTTTTAATCCATTCTTTTCGATTCGTTTACACAGAAATACATATTCTCAATTCATCTTTTTTTATCGATAGAAGAATCGCGAAAAGAGGTAGGCCGGTTTAGATTTTTTTATTTTCACGATACATCCTGGCCTTGAAAATATATGTATCGATTTCAAGGTACAAAGTTCGCGGTACATTGACGCGAACGTGCGTATTTTCGGCGAAATGCGGAGTGTCCGTCAGACGCACGTAGGTGTGCCTAATCTCAAGGCGACCACCATCTGCGGGGTACAAATTCCACCAGATGTATATCCGCTCCTGTTCTTCGTATTGTCGGAGCCCATGCCAAGTCGTGGGCAGCACTCCAAAGTGGGATAATACTGCGGCGACATACACATGACATTATTCTATTCTTGGTCTTTTAGGTGTCTCAGGGAGAGACTTAATGTCGCCAATGGCAGTGACCGACGGATGTGATTTCCCTCAAATATATCATACAGCCGCAACCCTGACCTAGTGCGAAGCGAAGGGCGCATGTTCCTTGGATGTCGGAGCCTATCTACATATATTCTTCAACGGCGTTATTCGAGTGAACATTCGTTCGACTCGGTATTTGGGTCCTCGATTCGCGATATTCACAGTAAAATTAAATGGATCCTCTGGTTCATGTCCAAACGCACTTTTGATGTGCTCTTCAGCGTTTGCACTCGAGACGTGCAGTGTACAAAGGAAGCGAAAAGGAAAGACAGGATATTGTGATGCGTAATTGTTCACCAAGATTATCGAGGAGATTCGACACGTTCGCGATAGAACACGAGCAAAGGCAAAAAGGAAAAAAAATTTTTTCTCAAGTTCGATAAGAGATACACTCTCGAGGGTTTATGTGCAAAAATTATTTATAATATAGTTTGGATATTTTTTGATATAAATTTCTTAATTGTGCTATTCACATTCCTAATTAATTATTCTCTCGTCTCTCTGTTAATCAATAGATTGCGTCAGAGATTAATAGATCGTCAATGAGTGTGACGATACACACTCCTGTAAAATGTGTTGCGTGAACAATCTCTATTGGAGCATAAGATTTAAACACATTTGTGACATTTACCCGTGACGTTTGGCGATGTTTTGAATGACCGTTAGGCAAAACACGCGATGTACTTTGTACATTGCGGACAGGAATCGTAGGTGAACGACCTCAGTATCTATTTCATCTATTTCACTTTCCCATATAATTCCAAAACAACATTTCTCTTTTCATCGTCGTTTCATCTATTAATCATCAATAAATCGTCTCTGAAGTCGTACTTTTAAATATTCTCTTTTGAGAAATGCAAAATGTGAGATTTAGAAATTTTTCTTTAGGCTCTTGTGAATTCTATTTTATTTTCTCGCTTATCATTTTGGCTTTGATTTTTTTAATAAAAATATGCTTACGAATACTAATAGTACATCTTTTTGATTACGTGAATCTTCATGATTCTATGGACAAATATCGCCGTCTGTTCCGGCGACGTGGCGAAAAGGAACACGTTTGAGATTGTTTATGCCTGGAACGGATTGCATCACAAGCGTATCTGTTATCGTTCCTTATCGACGAAAGTCACATAGCACAGCAAGCAGGAGTAGGCCGTGATTACTTTTACATAAAATTCGCAGCAAAAGTTATGATCTCCTTGTATAAAAAAAAAAAAAGAAATACAGAACACATATAATTCTTCTCCCCCAAAACGAGCTTCGAAGGACAAGAAGAATCTATTATAAGAATGCGGGCGTTTGAAACATTACAAAATTTCTCATCGGATTTACGCGTGCCATGTGTGCGTGACACGAAAAGCGGAGTAACATAACGTCGCTGTTACTTAACGCGTAAAAGTTCAGTGACGGCCTCATGGTCACCGCAAGACGTTTATGTGGGGATACCAAGGTCTCCAAGTATATCCAGCTGGATGTTATTAAAGAACGGATATTTTTTGTCTATTATTAAAAATCTTATTGTTTAAGTGATTAAAAGCTTGTTAGGTATTAAAGACATTAAAAAATAGTATTCGGTATTTAGAAATAAATTATAAGAAATTTGTGTACTTTAAACGTGATGGATCGAATAATAAAAGTTTCTTAAGGATTAAAGATTATATTAAAAAATAACACTCGATATTTAGAAATAAATTACGAGAAATCTGTATATTTTTTTAACGTGATGGATCGAATGTTCGATTAATAATAATTATAATATGATACGTTATATGATACATACACGTATCATATAATTTTCTTAATATATTTAATATATTTAATATATTTAAAAATTTCTGTAAAACTTGTTTATCCTAATTGGTACCGTTTAATTTATTCTCTTATGCAATGTGGCATCACGCAAGATTATGGTATTCTTGCGACATCAAGCGCGAAAGGTGTTCAATTTTAAATGAAACGAGTGGAGTTTACAGATACTCTTCAAAGGATCGATCTTTCAAACGCGCGAAATTGACGTGAAAAGATGAAACAGTAGACGATAGTAAGGCTGACACAGAAGGCTCTTTCATCTCAGAATAAATTTTCTCTCGTGCTTCGTAAAGAATCACGCGATGAAAATTTCACGCAAAAAATATATAATATATGTGAGACTGCGAGATGCGTATATTTCGTGGTTTAGACGATACAGAGCCTAGAAAATAAAAAAAAAAATAAAAGAAAAAAACATTCTGAGCGAACTTTCTATCGTCGCTGTGAAGGAAGTTAATTAAACCGGCATACCACGCGAGTACTGTCACGTCGGCCGGAATTCGGGCATCTCCAATCGTAACCAGTCTCAATCTCACTTAATCGTAATAACGAGCGGTGCGTGACGTGATGAAAAACGCAACGCGTATACGCTACGCTACGCAACGAGACGAGATCAGACGCGACGTGACGCGACGAGCCGGACATCAGGCCGGACGCTTTCATACTTCTACAAGAGCTAGGGAGGCCGAGATGGGTAGGGCGAGGACTCACCGAAATCGATGAACTGTTTTATCGAGAGCGGCGAGGGGTTGAATTGCGAATAGAAGTCCAACATCTTGTTGATGTTGCCTAGGCAGTTCCGTGTGAGCTTCATCCCGTGACGTTTTGTTACACATTAAAAACCCAATGTGCCCGGTCCGTCTGCGCGTGTTGGGAGACCCGGGGAAGGAAACTTCGGCTTCTCAAATTGGCTGCTGCCGTTGGACGTGGACGATCGGCAAAAGGAACGTTGTGCGCCTCTCACGTTTTTTTTTCTACCGAGCGACAGACTCCGATATGAAAAGATACACGAGGTGAGGCACCGCCGGTCGCGTCGGAACACAATCGTTGGAGGATTCGCGTCAACGAGTGCTATGAGTATCGCGGAGCGCGGTGCGGTATATGCGGGATACGCGCCGGGCTGCGCATGCGCGTCGTGTCATCATCGTTCGGCGCGCGGCAGGGGAATCGACGGTAAAACGCTCGTAGCGCCAATACTTAATTTGCTCGTCCGACACGCGGTTGCAATTGCGACGAGGTTGTTTCACTTTAAACGCATTTGTAATTCATCTGAAGCGTTTCGAGGATTACAGATATCGGAAGCTTTTGTAATTTTAAACTTCACGTTCGAAAGGTACGTATCTTCTGTCTCCCAACTTCACTCGGAGTCACCTCGCAAGAACCGCGAAAGTGGAACCGTAAAATATATTCCATAGAATAGAAAGCTTATTTAGAATACAAGCATATCATTCTGCGTTATTATTCGTTGAGATTATCGCTAAAAAGAATATCGCTCTCGTAGCAAACGTGTTCTACTCTCGTCAATTTGTATTCCGGAAGTGACGGACGGCGCTTCGCGAGGCTATCTGTCACCCCCGCAGCGGGGGAGCGGGAATGATTAACCTATACATTTACGCGTGCTTCGCATGATACACTTTTTATCGTCGAGCGTATGACTCATGGAAATTCGCGTTGCCAGTGAGACAAAGCAATCGCTTTTTCCATCCTGGACTGGCGAACGCGTTGACAAATGCCCTCGTCGACCGTCGCGTAGCTTTTAGGTTAGGGATCTTGCGATCATGCGCCTCGGTCTTCTGCTAGACAATCGTGACGCGACTTGTGTTTCATCACGAACATGCGACGAAATGCAAATCGCGCTCGTTTCACGAAACGAAGACGAGTCCTTCCCGCGACATTCTCGAGCCAGCGCAAAATCTTGCTCGCGCGACGCCTCATTTCTCCATGAACGTTCAGTCGCGCGCTTGACTCGCGCGCGCTGGCGTTGCTGACTTCCGGTTCAGACAAGCCCATGTGGACTTGTGGACGGCCGCGGCGGCGGATGCCACGATCAGCAGTCCGTGATCAGCGTGTTCTCGGCGCGCCTGTGCTCGCACGTTCTCGTACGTCACAAATCCTTCCGCCCCGGTTCCCTTCGCCGCGTCATCCGGACTCTGTCGCGTCGCCATGACGGACCTGGACGATTTTTTCGCCAAGAAAGACCGTAAGAAGGCCAAGGGCAAGAAATTTGCTACGACCGACGAGGTCGCCAAGAAGCTGGAAGAGACGGGCAAGCGAATCGAGAAGCCCAAGCCGAAGGAGAAGCCGGCGAATCCGGAGGGCGAGGAGTCCCAGCACACCGAGGTAAGACGAGAATAGACGGTGACGGTAACGAGATGATGACGACGGGGGCATATTTGCGCGTTCTCTCGCGGAATTCCGAAACCTCGTGTCCGCGCTACGGCGCTGCCATGTTTGTTCCCACGAAGGGGAATGGTCGCGTGGAGCGACCGTCGGCGAAGACGCGTGACGGATCTCGGACGACTCGGAGCGCCTTACGTAATCGCTGGACATGCGGGATCTCGCCCACGCGCGTCGCGGCAGCTGTTTCACGCGTGCACGTGTTCTCCGAGTTTCGTTCCCCTCCCCTCCCCCTGCCCCTCCCCTGAAAAAAGGGGCGAACCCGACGATTCCTCGCTCATATGTGACGTGACAGTCCAAATTAGTGGAATTTTTTTCTCGTGACCATTCAAATTTCTCGCTAATTTTAATTCCGCTCGTCGTTAATATTTAATAAATAGCACTTGTTTTATCATGGATGTGCCACTTGTCAAAGATCATATAATTTCCAGTGGACTTGGCGAATTGTGACAATGATAATTACGAATGTAAATCAGAAAGCAATACAAGAATATAAAGCAATGCTAATACATCTTGCTTTTAGGATGAAGACGAATGGAAGGAATTTGAGGAAGAGAAGAAAGATTACAGTGGTTTGAAAATTGGTGTCTTAACGGTAAATGATAGTATTGACGCAGAATCAGACGACGAAAGGGGTACTTTCGAAATCAGTTCAGATGGAGAATCTGGCGAAGGTGGCACAAAGTACACGGGACCATGGAAGAAACCAGATTTGCCACCGGAAGCACCTGAAGTAGTACCGACACCACCTGCCCCGCCTGCCGCTGCCGCCTCCACTGGAAGTAGTTATAAAGCGCCACATTTACGAAATCAACCTACGTTTGCTAGTCCACGACCACGAGGCAGAAATGTCGCTCCCGATATAAATAGTGAGGAATATTTCCCTACCCTGAACGCCAAGCCTCAGCAAAATAACGGCAGTAGCCCATGGGGCAGACGGTAAGATGGCAACCATAATTCCAGTATTGTTTTATTATCGGACACCATTTGATTTTATAGAGAAGCATTGCATTACAAATAGTATAGCGCGTTTATACTTAATTATGTGGTTTTTAATTACAGGCGGCGAGATGAAGGAGTATTCGAGGAAGTTCGTAACCGAGGTGGAAGCAGATCGTATAACGTACCAGATTCACAAGCTCAAACGCCCAAGCTCTCCCTTGGCAACAAGTATGGCGCCCTGTCGCAAGATCAGAGCTGAAAACACCTATCTGGACAGAATCAAACAATATGCAATCAATATCACATCGTCGCCCCTCCCCGCTTCGTGGCCCAACCTCGCCGAGAAAATCTATTTTCTAGACTAGGACGCAGTGTATATTATAGAATGTGTATGCACATATACACGACCCCGCGGTTTCATAAAATTCCGGGGATACTAATTCCGGTTCTCTCATCGGCGATTTTAAAGTGATCGCGGGACAGATCGTTGATCCTAGGTATTTGCACACACGTGCGCTCATGGACCTTGTAACTAACTCGAAACGAATATCGTGCATGTGCGCAAGCTTATTTTCATACCGTATAGACAACGTGATTGGAAATCGATTTTTATATTTCATTTTGTAATCAGAGCATAGTGTGTAGTATGCTGCTTCCAGGAAAGACGAATAAAGAATGGATTCTAATGCTCGAATCCTCAAAAACGATGGACCGGAATAACGTTGTTACTGCGAGTATGCGTTCTCGTTACGTGGATTGTAGTCTAAAGAAAAAAGAGTATCATTTGTTAAGGTATTTTACGTGGTATTTGCACTTTTTTTTATACGGTGCTACTTTTGATTTAGCGTGCATAATTACTGCCACGATCGATGCCTTCTCATTGAGTGTTATCGATGTAAATAGGACTGATCACGTTGACGTCCAAACACGATATACCTCGAGATCGGCACAATTACGTCGAGATCGAAATTCGCGCAATTAATCTCGTATAGAACAATTCTGTATGAGGGCTAAATAATCTCGAAGAATCACGAGATGCTTCTTGGGCCCTCCCTCCTTCCCTCCCTCTCTATCTATCTCTCCACTTTTGAAGGAGTGTCGCTTCGCTCAAAATGGCAACGTGCGTCAACGAACGAAAATTTCTAGATAAATTAATTAAGGCATATATAAAAATATGTATGTATATTATTAATCGAATTTCGCGGGGCTGGGCTTTGAACGGCGCGGAAACAATAAAGATAACACAAAGTAATAACACGAACGCAACTTTGAGTGAGAGTAACGAGGGGCATAATAGTTAATTAAAGCGCGAAACCGAAGCTACCGTGTCGCGGTGGTGTTGTACACAAAATAGGAGGGAGAAAGACATATACGCATACACTCGTGTTAAGCATAAAATGAAAATCCTATGTACACCTTTGTTGACGATTGTACAATTTTTTTTTTTTTTTTTTTTGTTGTAAGAATTTCTTTTCCAAGATGAAGAGTGTGCGGCGAATAAATATCGAATCCGTTTCTTGGGAGACGGTTTCTCATTGTTGGCGGATCCTCCCCGGCGGGGTGACGCGTGTTGTTTACAGAACGCGATGAGGAGAATGCCATACGGAAACGGTAGATAATAATAAGAATTCTTGTATAGCGTGTGATAAAATGTGATTATTTATAAATAAATTTCTTAGGATAACTCGTACGTACTGCCTCCGAGCATTTTTCTTTTAGTTTGCCGTACCGTATATCGTCGATCAGCCGATTCCCGAAGCGTAACGCTCGGTCACTCGTGCGCGAGCCGGCTTGGCCGATCGTCTTTCCATGAATGCGATTTATGTCGGAAACGATGCAGATAAATAACGCGTTGTAGCGCCAGAAGAAATTTAAACTTAAGCACACGGCGGAGAAACGCGCAATACCCGGTGCCTCTTGGAGACAGTTTCAAATTGATTTTTGGTCGCCGCGGCGACGCGGATTAGCCTGCCCTTTGTTACAGAATAGTTGAGATACAATAATTTTATCGCTACTGTTACATGAGAGCGAGCGATAGAATGACAGGAAGTGAGAGTGCGCGAAAGTGTGGGATGCGAGCGTACGTGGCGTATTTAATAAAACTCAATCACCGAGATATTTTCGTGCCAATTTCTTCCGTTCCTTCATTCGCAAAATCCTATTTTATATATCATTGTCGGCTAATTCTCTCTATTCAAGAATCTGAAAAAATTGATTATTACATTGTTAATGCAGGAACAATTGTTATTACACCGAATATAAAACAATTTATATATATATATATATATATACACATATAAATAATATAATTTTTATCTATAATTAGATTTGGAAGAGAGAGATGGAGTGTCTCCCTAGAAATACAATTTTATGTTATTGTGCGAGCGATACAAGATAGCATTATAAGTCACTTGTTACTTTCTGCGTCGTCACTTTCCTCGAATCGTTTATTCCGAAGATTAACAGTACCGTGGGATAGAGTGTTTGCTATAATCCAATCGAATATTCAGAGAACGTCGTCGAGACTCGACGCATCCTCGTCGCTGCAAAGAGACAAAAGCCGCCGGCAATGATTTATTGAACATCCTTTCTGTGATCGTAGGACGGATCGCGGACATACTTTTCGCAGTACTTTAACCCGTGACTTCCATTGTTATTATAAGACTCATACATGGGGCCATCCAGTAGAGAAGATCTGTATTTTGGCAGAAAGTATATCCAGGCTCTCGTCGACTCACTTACCTGAATGAGGGAAAGGGATTGTTAGAAAAAAAGCACAGATGTTTGTCGCATTTGATAAAGTATTAATACTCGATAATGTTCGACATCCGTCGAATTACCTCCTCGAAAGTCTTTTCAGGTTTGAGCGCAGATTCCGGCGCTAGCAAGACCTTCTCTTCTGTTCGTTCATAAAACTTAGGGTGCTCCTCCAGTTCGTCCAATCTTGCCAGCATATTGGAGTCCATGTCATATATTTCCCCAAGTACGTACTGCTTAAAAAGAAAAACAATCGCAATCTTTATTACGAATGAAGATTTTTTTTTAGGAAATTAAAATTACAAATAGAATCAAAATAAAAGGGACAAGAGGATTCATGCTTTTCTAATTCTTTGAAATATTAATTAATTTATATTTTTTATCTTTTTTTAATATTAAAAAACAGAAAAAGATAAAAAAAAATGAATTAAATCAAGATCAAAATTAAATCTACATTGGTAGATATAAATGGACATTAGTTTTTAATTTTTTTAAACATTTTTCCTCCCAACTCACGTTGCCGACGTTGGGTTTCTTGAGCAGAAAGGGAATGTTGTACTTCGTGGCGATCACCAAAGGATACGGGACCGTCGTCCTACCGAGGCCCAGGAACTTGGCGTAGCCGTTCGCTGCGTCCTTGATGAGTCCGTGATTCGGCTCGCCTCGCTTCAACGTGCCGTAGACGAACACACGGTGGAGCGGGCTCTTGAACAGGTTTTCGTACATGACGAAAGTCGCGGGTTAGCCTTTTTTTTTCACACGTGACTTCCGGCCGATGGCATCGCGACCGGATGTGGAGCCGCGCGTCGGTGATTTACACCGTCGCGTGCGATCAATTCACGCGTCGTAACCGCGTTGGGTTACGTCAGAAAGTTTGCGCTATCTAATCCAAGAAACACGCCGATAAGGATCACCGAAGTCCGTATTTTGTATTTTGGAAACAGCGACACACCAGTTGAACGTGAGACGATTAACAAAAAAACTGTTCTTTGAACAAAAATGTTTTTTCGAACTCACACTCGAAAAATGTCCGAAATTGCTCGAATCGCAATCAGACAAAGGAAAAAAAAAAACATAGACTACAACAACTCACGATGATAACGTGTCACGTAACGAATTGGACGGACGGTGACGGCGGATCAAATTTTAACGCTAGATGTCGGCATTGTCGGTCGGCGCGATTATTTGTAATTTCTTATTTTCTCGTCACGTAATAAAACGCAATTTGATTTTTAATAATATAACACATGCTAAATTAAAAATATCTATTATAGAAAAGTAGCATGTGAATAGTTTGGAAAACTCACTCGTTTTATTATATAAAACGTTTATTACGCTACGATAATATCTAATGAAAAAATTAATTCAAATCTAATTATGTAGGCGCACACACGAAATAGGCGAACAATTCCAATAACTTTGACGATTTTATCCTTTTATATTTTATTTTTTATATTTTATTTTTATTTCACTCTAAACACAAATTCCGAACAGATACAAAAATAGCATCGGACATTTGCATCAAATTGATCGCAATTTGAGGCGGATTACCATTATTTTTAAAAACGTTGATCGTTTAAAAATAACATAGACTGGCGAAACAAGATATGCGATAGAATTATTAATTTTAATAAAACTGCAGCTCGCTTATTACCTCGGCCACTGAGTTCACATCCAAAACTTTCCTCGATGAATGAGAATAAAAGGAATCCAACTCTATAACGGCGATGTTAACGAGTATGGTAACGGCGGCGACGTGCACCAACATTTTCGTGAAGTGCAACGACCGAAAATGACAGTGCGTCTTGGCACGCTTACGCGTGCATCTTGGCAGCTCGTGCTTGGATACCCTCGGCTACAGAGGGTATCGCGTACAGTGGGCATTACGAAAGATAAGATAAGAATTCTCATCCAATAAGATCCCCGAACAATTGCACCATCGCCGATCGCGCCACCCAGTACGACGGTGAACCCAATTGGCGAACGCCAATTGGAAATCTAAATGTGAGGACCCTGAAAAAGAAAAAAACTTTCTAAAACGACTTCGATTTGATCTTAGAAAAAGCTAGGCGAAACCAATACCAGCCGACTATTGACCGAATGAAACTGCGGACAACACTTTTTATACAACCCTTTCCTTAGACACGTGATCATAGACACGTGATCATGTGCTGTCAGCTTGTACTGGCTTGTACATTCTCGTTTAAAAGAATTAGAAACGAACGTTTCCACACAAAAATTAAATAGTTAATTAAAGAACAACATGTTCCAAGTTTCATCAGATAATATTAAAAATAGGAGAGTCTTAATAACATTGAAATTAACAATCGTACGCTGATTTTTTTCCGCAGGGCTTCACTTTCCATCGATACGATGGAATCCTCAATGTCCTTAAAATCCACGTCCTTTATCATTTGATCACCTTGTCGCTTGCGACACAAAAGGCGAAATGTTGTCCAGTCTTCATTCCTTTCGATGTCATTACCCTAATTATAGAAAGAAAGAAACAGAAAGGAAGAGAGAGAAAGCTTGTGAAGTATAGATAAAAGTCTCCTTAGTACATTGATGGTGCGTATAATAAAGATTACTTCCAAAAATACGTGTAGCAACCCTCTGCTGCAATCGCTTAATAGCATATAATCCTGATAGCGCAAACACACACCAGTTTCTTCAGCGTCTTATTTGTCAGGCGATTAACTAGACGCGAGCACATTATAATTTGCAATCATAAATCGTTCATATTCAATGAAAACTAGTTGATATATAGCATAATAAAAAGCTTACAGCTTAAGCTCAAGTGTTGCAAATTCAAATTTCCACTCGCCATTATGCAGCCGCTTATCGCTATGGTTTCTCTTGTAAATGGATGGCTAGTAGTATTATCCATGAATTTTTCTGAGATCTAGAAATGTATATTTTATATCTTTTCATATTTATATCTTTTAATAGCTATCTTTAATATCTTTCGATAACACTGATTACCGAAAATTAGCAATAAAAATTAGCAATGTCGTTATTATTATTATTATTATTGTTGTTGTTGTTGTTGTTGTTGTTGTTGTTATTGTTATATCATATTATATTATATTATTACAATACTTGAGTAGGACTGTTTCGATGTCGAAGAATTAGCTTGAACCTCGTTTGAATCCATGTTCGACGAGTTACCCTGACTCGCTGCATCTTTGAATTATCATAAAGCGAATTTTAAAATAACTCAGGCAGCATTAAACGTACTTCTTTTAGAATTCTGAGTCAGATTTTGGCCTTGCCACGTTTTACCATCCTTTCCTCGCTCCGTGATAGTTTCTTGAACATCTCGACTATCCAGCTATATATATAACAATTATTTATTTATTAATGAACGAAGTAACATCACGAGATAATCTATCAACCTTGCTCTCCAGTTCGATAAATCTACGACGTCGAAGGTCAACGATCTCCTCGTGTGTCAATGAAGACCTAGCGCGTTACGTTATTAAAGATAGCGACCTAAATTAATAAGTCTATTCAATTTAATCGTTGTTACTGTTAAAAATACATGCAAAGCTCCTGGATTATCAGTGAAGCGCCGTCGTCTTGTATCTTGTTTCCGGTTAATACCACGCTTTGCAAAGATCTATAAACACATTCAGCGAACATTACATTATATAAACTTTTGCGCGCAGAGAGGCATTAAACGTATTAGAATTCTGACAAATTAGCAACTACATGACCGATTAGTTCGGAGCATCGCAGCGAGGTACTCGGCACCATGGTCCGTAATATCGTTGTCCGCCATATTAAGAGCGATCAATTTTGGGTCGTCCGGCGGGTCCCGATACTTCAACTCGTTCGCGATTTTTTGTATGCCGTTATCGGATAACTTACACATCCTCAGCGAAAGATAGCGCAAACTGGAACACAAATTTTTCCGTGAAGCGGTTGTCGCTCGATCGAGAAATGGAATATGGAATATGGAGTATGGAATTCACTTTCTGGCAGGAGAGCAGAGCAAATAATGATTCTCCTGCGCATTCGGATTGTTGTCTAGATTCAGATCGTCCAGACATTTGAGTTCCATCAGCATTTGTGCTATCAGCAGGATACCGCAGGCATTTATCTGACAATTGGGCAACCTGGCGAAAATTATCACGCAATTATGACGTTGTCGTACATACGTCACGTGTAAGTTACATGGCTGATGTTTAAGTTTTGTCTTACTTAAGCACCGTGACAGTGTTATATTTCTGCAGCGTAGTACTCAGTGCATCAAGGATGCAAATCGATATTTCCTGTCGTGCAACATGAAAAACGTTACGGGCACATAAATGCGAATTAACTTTAACTAAGATAAGCGGTTAATGTATTTTCACGACTTATCTTTACATTCCAGTTTCTGTACGTTCTCCATCGTTTTAGGATTCTCGAAAGAGACGTAAAAGATAGGGATATTTTTTTCCAACTTGAGTCTAAATCGTGACTTTTAATATACGATCTCTATGAAATTATTCGAGAATGTTCAAGATACTTACGTTTTCGGTTCAATTTTTACGTATTGTTCCGTGTCATCTCTCATCTATGAAAGTGTAATGTTTGTGTAATAATAATTAACTATCTACGTATGTATGTTAATTATTCAATATATGGCATAGGTGGATCTGTAAATTTACTATAAAATTAGGTAACGGTTCTACATTATTTTCTTCGCAATACGTCAGAAATTCTGTGATAAAATTTTCCAGAGACATCCTTCTCGACTAATCTATTATAACAAATAATATTGAAGATCATAATGAAAACATATAATTATTTTAATAATTTTACAAATATCTTTAACCATCTCCTTACAATTTTCTTTAAAAAATTAACCATAAATCGAGATGCTTTTTCTCTTATTGACTCGTGTTTGCTTTTTCTGCTTGTCATATCTAACCTTCTAACATTATTTATTCTGCAGTGAAGAAAAACAAGTGACGAAAAATATTCAGTAGCATTCATATCGCTTCATACTTGTTTATATTCTGATATATTAAACTAACACAACTTTTAAGAATTGCAATTTCCAAATTTATTACATTTAAAGATTTTAACGCATAAATCTAGACTTATGAAAATAAAATATCAGGAGAATGTAAGTAAAGAGATTTATTTATTAAAAATTTCAGGAATTTTTCAAGAATTGCACTTTTTGCAGTAATTTTTTTTTATATGAACTGACCGATAAAAAAATTTATTCATATTTAATGTCATTGGATGATTGCTTCTTTTTTTAAATTAAAAATTCTCAATTTTCCATATTTTATCTTGTAATCAAGAGTCGAGTCTCCCTCGACACGCGTCGTAAATTCGCAGGGCGCCTATGGCGTCCCTCGCTACCAACGACGTGTAATCTGATGCTCGGGAAACATAGGGGTGACTAGCCCCTACGGGGATCACACTCGGGGTAGAGGAGAGAAGCGGGGAAAAATCATTTGGAAAAGTATCGAACGAACTCTGACGCGTGGTTGCTTAACAGAAGGTGGTGAGGATCGAGTCGCGCGATAAAGGACCGGTCGTCGGGCTTTCGAGGGATTAAAGTCTGTAATTACGGGCGCCGCGGGGACGAATTACCAAAATGATTTGTTGTTAGGGGCCAGAACGGCGCCACGAACGGCCACCATGAAACTTCGGGCCACGATCGATGACACATATCTCGTATGTCGTGACGATGGGAAATGAAACGGTGTCGTCATCAAGTCGATGCCACGCGAAGAATCCAATTTGTCGACGCAACAACGAAACACATTATTTTTTTTTTAAAGCCCTTTTAACTGTCCTTTAAAACGATTATACATTAAATGTCGACAACGAACGTTCATCCGAATAACTATCCAAGATGTAAACATATTTCTCGACATTTCTTGTCGAGTTATTGAAGAAGATTATTTGTCAAATTTTGATTCGTTCTCGATTCTTTTCGACGCGTCCTTCGAAAATTTTACATACCGCCGCGAGCGCGCGTCCGTCGTCCCGCTCGTGATCTATCATCGGAATGAGATTGATCGGCCAATTCTGCCCCCGCTTACGTACATACGGCGGCAGACAAGTTCGCGTTATAGCGCCGCTCCGTCGAACACCGCGCGTTCTTCAGTCGTGCCTCGCGCGTCCAACGAGCCGCACGCGAGGTGGATTATGTGCGCGTTTCGAGTTCACGATTAGGCACGTAAAATCGGCAGATCGGCAAATCGCGCGTGTTCCTCCGGTGGTCTCCGGTGCTCGATACGTTAAAACGTGAAGACTCGCCTCATCATCGCCGGTGAAACGCCGATCCCCATAAAGCCATGGATTAAACACGGAGGTGGGGCGAAAAGGTAAACCGCATTGTTTCAAAATCGCTGTGTCTCTCGTGTCGTCATCCAATTAATATAATTCCCTAATTAAAGAATATACATCTAATTGCAATTGTTTATAACTTTCAAGCAGCGTTTCTTGCGAAATTCCGGACGGTGGAAATCTCGACGAGAGAGTAATAATTATCCGACGTGTTTCTCATGTTACTCGGTGAGATCGGAGCGAAACAAAAATTTACGACTGCGCCAATCCGTTGCGGAAGGGATTAAGGGATTACCATTACCTTCTCGTCGTGCAAAATCGTTGCTCGTTCGCTCGCTCGCTCGCGTTCCGTTAGCGAGCATCCCTCGGCGATTGCATCGATTTACGAGTGTTTACATCACGATGTCAGGGCGCGCCGTAATCGCCCGGTATTATGAATTATGCATCCACCGGAGTGGTTTCGAATTTCCTCCCGATCCGCTTCGGCCCTCCGCACGCGGGGAACACGGCTCGCTGCTCGCGTTCGCGATCGTTAATATTAATTTCGGCCGGCGGTAAATTGGTACAAATAGGCGACGGACGCGTTCGTCAATTAAACGGCGCACCGCCTTGTCGTCGGCAATTATGTTTCACGGACCAACCGGCGAGTTTCTCCTAGATTCCATATTAATCTTCGGAACGCTTACCGAGGTCACATCTGCGTTTGTCTCGGAGGGATATTCGACAAATGATAAAAAAAAAATGAGATGTGTAGGTGAAGTTTAATCTGTGAACGAAATCAGTTTTATTTACAGTTTGAAATAGAAAAAATATACAGGCGCTCGTGATGATCGTGACTTTGGAATTATAATAATAATAATCACCATAAAATGTTTTATTTTATTCCGGATAATACGAGAGAGAAGGTGGAAGAGTTCTTGAATGAATGTGTCTTAAATTTCTCGAAGCTCAGAATTTCCACCGCGATCTCAACCGCGGATTAGCTTTCGCGCAAAAACGCGGAGAGATCTTCCAAGATCAAATCGTATTTCCAGATGTTGCCATGATGCAGCTCGGTGCAGCCGGTCTCTCGCTTGTTATGCGACCGCTCTTGTAAATTTATCTTGTCCTTTTTTTTTCAACGCGGAAGGGGGCTGTTTGCTCTTCTTTTCTTTGTGAATGGAATGCGAGCGACTCATGTCTAGAGAACTCGTTGAACAAAAGGGTGTTTCCCCCGCTTTCTGTGGGGGACCGGGCCCTTTTCTTCTCGGCTGTCAAGTAGGTCAGAACGCTGGATACACGAGACATGGAATGGCGAGTGAATCAAGCCATTTGAAGAACTTGATTCGAAAGACACGAGTGTATTTGATAAAAACGGAAAAAGAAATTTAAGAAAAACGTTACAATACAGTGCAAGTTTTTATTGCGTTCTACTCATTCTATCATCGAGAAGTACAACCAATGTCCATCATAAAATTATCAAATGATTTAGACAGAGAAATTCTGCAAATAGGTAGGAATGCATTCTTTATTTTTCCTATATTGCGGCAATTAATCTGTTTTTGTAGCTGAACACTCGTATTTAAGATAATATATATACACATTTTTATATATATATATATATATATATATTTGAGGTTTGACAAATGCGAGATAGAAAGTTTAGCGCAATTCAGTGCAGGAACAGAAAGCAAAGCTAATGACAGAATAGATCGAAGGCGCGAAGTGAGTTCTCACGAGTGTCACGCCCACTTAATCGGGAAATCCGTTCTTCTCCGTTCTTTCGAGAGCCCTTCCTCAAGTAGCAGCGTCACGCGTGAGCGCGCATTATTTAAGCCGACGTCCGCGAACGGTAATTAAAATGCGCCGCGAGTTTCGTTTCACGCAAATGCGCGAGCCGACCGAGCACGTGGCAGGCTGCGAGCGAGCAGAAGAATGAGCTGTAGGGAAGGGTAATGGCCGCCAATCGAATCGGCTGCTTTTATGAGCGTGGACACTTAAAGACACTTCCGATGGAACGGGAGGGAAGAAAGTCAAGTTTCGAGAACGTCTCATCCCCGAACGAGAGGACGGGGAAACTGAAATGGAGGAAAGTAAAAGGAAGATCGAGATAACGATTTTACGATTGGCGTGGTTTTTTTTCGGCTGGAGCTCCTCCATTTCTGAATACATGAATTCTAATTTACGGACAGATATAAGGAGTTTTAATTTATGGGGGGGGGAGTTTAGTTTCATGCGACCGTACCCTTTTAGCATATCAGGCGCGTATTGTCCGTCGCGAATTTTTCGTTCTCTCGCAATCAAGTCGAACGGAAGTGGTAGTAACCCAGAGAGGGACAAGCGGTCGGGACGTTTTACATTCCGTGGGTGTTTTCCCTCGTCTCTCTCGCACCTCCTCCTTCTCCTCTTCTCTCTCCTTTCTTCTCCCACTCCCGTCGGCCGTTCTTCTGTCTATTGCTCCTATCTTGTCCTTTCTTCCTAGCCTTCTCTCGGCTGGTTCGAGACCAGCATAGCCAGTCGCTGTGTCATCGAGGCTCGATACATCATAAATATAAATTGGCTGGGCGTTCGTGCGTGTGCACGCATAAATGAAGCCGCCTGCATGCGTGCGTGCGTGCGTGCATGCCGTGCTCCCGAGCAACGTTAGAGAATGTTAATGTTAACCGGCAGCGATGCACACCAAAAATGATGAACGAACTCACCTTGATGTCGAGGAATTTCGCCTTAATATACTTTGCCGGATTACGGAAATACGAGAGCTTAACAAAAAAAGAGTAGTGATCGCGCGCAAGGGCAGCCTGTAATAAAATTTATCCATTTATTAATAATCAATTAATAATCTATTAATAAAATAAATCTGAAAAATTTGCTATCTCTTTTCTCGAGAATCCGTACGTGATTTATAATATTTTACATGAAATAAAACGGCCATCCCGCTGATAAATATAATCTACTTCCCGTATTTCTGCTGAGGCCTCCAGAGAGGCCTCCATCTTTCTGGATCCCTCTGGTCTGGATTTATCTCACTCGCAGAACCGACGGCGTCGTGACTCCGAGTGCGTCGCGAAACAACGAGATCGCGTGAGCGCCCCTTCAAGAGCGCGGAAATAATCTCGATTTCGAGCAACCGCGGTGATTACCCGCGTTCGCAGAATCGCCCGTGGGTTCGCTTCAAACCGCAACGCGCTCCTCTGCGCGTTCGAGATCCCCCCCCCCCGCGTCTCCTTACTCTCTCTGGAGGGAGCCCGCGAGCACGTCGTCTCATCTATTCCTCTTTAAACGCACGACGGGCGCTGGAAGAAAGCGTGGCTAAAACGGGCAGATCTAATCGTGCTGGCCTTGCGATCGCCTTCGGCGATTAGTGCCGCGCGCGCAGAAATATGCACGCAGATGCGGGCGGCGAGCGTGTGCTCACTTCCTGAGGCGCGAGATAAGCTCGTTAACGGCGCTTATATGCGTGTATGTACAACCCGAGAGAGCGCGGCAAGTGCCGCTGATAAACTTGACGGATCGTTTTCAGCGCGTGTCCAATCTAAACACCATACACGCTCGGGCTGATTATAAGATCGAGTAATGTAACACGGGATGTCACGGGAGTTCGTATCGAGAAATCCTCATTTTTTTTTTTTCACATGACATTTTGCATCTCGTAGAATATTTTGTTCTAAAAAAAACGTAAAATTCCTAATATATTTTTTGCTAAAATTCCTAATATACTTTTACTTATTATCGATTATTACCGCGCGATTTACTATCGCGAATAATTATCGATTCAGAAAAAAATAATTAAAAGCTGAAATCGTAGGAGATTCTCTTCGACGGATCGCTCGCATGCTGGACCTAAAACCGATCGGCGACGGTATAATTTTAATCGCCGGGCCTTCAATGTCGGTCGGCGGCGGAGATCACCGTTAGGCCTTCATGTCGTCGTCGTCGTCGTTTCTTAATTATCCTGGTTGTTAGAATTACGCCGGACTGCTGCATCGCCAGGCATTGCTTATCACGCGTGAATTCTTACTGAACTCACACGCGGAAGCAATCCCTTGCGCGCATCATGCATTTCCGGTTGATTGGACCCCGATAGCTGCCACTGATATCAAAGGACAAAAAGCCAGTTTGATCTGTCAAACGACATATGTCACTTTACACTTTACTAAGACACTGAGCATATTCATCAGACTTTTTCCGTATCACACGAGATGATTTTACAGTTCAACATTGTACGTGAAATTATATTTTATAAAATTTCATAAAGTTTCTGCGATAATTCGTATTACTTCAAACGTAATTGTATTTAATTCTCTGTTAGAGACCTCGCTTGAGAAATGTTTCCGCGTATGCTCGTGGCACAATGATCAATTGGGCACGTTTGGGTTCCGCTTGTCCTGGATATACACGAGTCATGTTGCACGAGTCATAACGCGATTAGGAGGCTAATTATGTCTCATGTTAGATTTTCTCTGGATGGAGACAAGATCGGTCGCACGTTCGGCCTATAAGGAATTGCGCTAAATCATTATGGATAAAATCGATAGTAAGCGAGACGTCGAAGCTGATGAAGCTAAGGAGATGAGGTAAAGGTGAATCTCTCTCTACCTCTCTCTTCCTCTCCTCGTAGACTGGATCTGGAAGTGGACGAAGGGAGAGGACGAAAACAAGAGATGCGAGATGCAAGGGAGCACCTGTCCAACAGCTGCCTCGCATATGGCGCTGATGGTACACTCGCGAGATTATGTAAGGAGAGTAGGTGCCTTGTTTTCAGACGCCGGAGGTTTCTCTCGAAATAATTAAAATGATTTGACTTGAATCCTCGTCGTGTTATTCCAGGGCGACGGATCTCTTCAAGATCTTCCTTCTTCGGACAGATGATTCTTTCACCACGGCTCTTTGTCGCGACGCTGTCGCGACGCTGTCTCCTCTCTCTCGTAATTTTTATAATATCTTTATGCAATCGAGCGATAAATTAGAAATCCATTCTGGATCCTTTTGTATTTCTTTTTTGCAAAAAAAGGTTATACATAATATATTTTGGATCCTATTGAATGTAAGAACCGTCCATGGCGTCTGAATTTCTCATTCGGCTCACGCATCTTCGCGGAATGCAATATTCTCCCTCCTCTTTTCCAGCCGTTGCACAGACGCTCCGACCATTAGTCATCCGCCAATGGGTCCTCTGTCCGGTAACTCACGGCCGAAAAGCCGTAAGTCAACGGCGAATGCTGCTAATAATCTGCTTGTAAGCTCTGACCTCCGGCGTTCGCGCGGTCGATATCTCGCCGCGATAAATCCATCCTCCTCTCGCGAAAGCGCATTCGCGCGAATCGCGCGAAAAGCGTTTCGCGAGTCAAGCGCGCTCGAAGGTGCGATCAAAGGCGCGCCTACGGATGAACGATGATAATTAAATTGATATCGAGTCGGGAGGAATTCCGCGTGAATTCCGCGCCGCAGGCGTCAAGATACCTCGGTACGGGTTTGAGGATTAATTCACGACTCGGTGGTTCACGCGCGTGCGCGCGCGCGATCTTGGCGAAAGGGGCCCCGCACGGGGCCCGTATCGCATTATAAGTAGGCGTGGCAGCGTTACACGTAACAATGAAGCCGGCAATTAAAATAAAAAAAAGGAAAAGGAAAAACGCGCGGCTGCCTGCTCGAGTGGACTCGCGTAGACAGCAGTCGGCCCACGCGTTCACCGCCGCGTTTGTCTCTCCCCGTTCCGAATCCCATAGATATTGTCAATTAAAGCACGGCTCATTAATTCCCAATCACACGCGAGGGCGGACCATTGTAATGGGACGTCGAAACAAAGAGCTAAACGCGATGGAAAATCGTTTAAGTGGAAGCGATAACCAGCTCTCGGCGACGCCGGCTATAGCAGCTGATTAATTATCGTAATTAATCTCTATTATTAATTATCATTTAATGAATAATGTGCCGGGAGGCTAGGTCGATATTCTTCTCATAATTATCATTCTCATAATTATCTGGAGATAATGATTTAATGCAGAGAGAAAAATAAAGCTCGCGATTTTTATGGTCATTGAAGTGCAGAAGGAATCGATTAATCTGGGTTAAAAGAACGCTTTTTTAAGACTCTCGCGATACGTCAACGTCAACGTCTTAGAGAGAGAGATTCATTTATGTTGCTGCGGGGTTCAAGTCAGCAAATATAAACAGCGATTAGGGAGTGATCCTAAGCAAACACACTTCGTGAAGTGCTTGCGAGTCGCGGGCAATGAGTGACAGAAATAAAAGCTACAACAGCACCAACGAATTTCTTTAATTTTTATGACGATGATATCGCCACATATATTTTGTTTTTCCATAAATAATCCTTTCAATGCATCTAACTTTCTAAAACGAATTTTCACACACACGGTTTCCCGAAAGCAAATCTTTAAACTCGCAAATTCGTGTGGCTGCTCCAAGAATTCAAATTTCGAGGACGTTTCTTTGGTGTTCGACGTATGGTCGCGTCTTGATTCTTGCCGATTTCGTTGCCGGTAAAGATCAAAGTAGATCTTTCGATTGGTGGTGAGAGGGCTAT